TCTGTTCTTTCTTCCTTTTCACTGATCTGTTCTTTGGCACTGTCTCATCTACTGTTGGTTCCTTCAAGTGTATTTTTTTATTTCAGGTGTTGTATTCTTCAGCTCTGTTTGGTTCTTCTTCATATTTTCTGACTCTTGGTAAATGTCTCACTGTGTTCATCTGTTGTTCTGAGCTCAGTGAGCATCTTTATGATCATTACCTTGGGCTCTTTATTGGGTGGATTGCTTATCTCTGCTTTGCTGAAGTTCCTTTTCTGGAGTTTTATTCCTTTGGAATATATTCTGTCACCTCATTTTGTCTAATTCCCGTTTTTCATTTCTATGTCTTAGGTAGGTCAGTTACATTTCCTGATCTTGGAGAAGTGGCCTTGTATAGGAGATGTCCTACAGGGCCTTGAACACACTCCCCTCTGGTCATCAGAGCTGTGTGCTCTAGGGCTGCCCCCACAGGGCTGCATGAGCCCTTCGGTTGTGTTGGGTCCACTGCTGTGGACAGGCAGGTAGACAGGGCTGTCCCCCTTCCCAGCTGGCTGCCAAACTCTGCTTTGTAGGAGGGCTGCCGGCCCACTTGGGGCTGGGTCCAGGGCTTACTGGTCGGGGGCCGGGTCCTAGCATGGCTGGCTGTGGGGCTGGGGCGGGGGGGACTTGGGCTTGGTGCCAGCCTACTGGCGGGCAGGGCTGTGTCCCCCTGTAGCTGGTTGCTTGGCCTGGGGTTCCCAGGACGGTTGGGGGCCAGATTATGGGAAGGTAAACCCCTGGTGCTAGTGGGAGGCTGGTACGAAGATTCCAAAATGGTGCTTGCCAGCACCAATGTCCTGCTGGGACTGTGTCCTCAAGGGGAGTTCCAGTCACTTCCTGTCCCTCTGGGATTTTCTCCAAGATCAGTTCAGGATCCTTTTAAATTACTGCTTCTGTGCTGAATTTCAGAGTGTGTGAGATTTGATGTGTGCTCTTTGAAAACAGTCTCTGTTTCTTGCAACCCTCTGGCCCTCCTGTGCGCCAGCCTTACTGGTTTTTAAAGCAGACGTTCTGTGAGCTGGTCTTACCTGCACAGGACCTCCCGCTGGGGAGCTCCACAGGAGCTCAGAGCCCCCACTCCTTGAGAGAACCTCTGCAGTTGTGGCTGCACTCCTGCCTGTGTTCGCCTCCCCAGGGGAGTGGGTCTTGACTGTACCGCATCACCATCATCCTACCCATCCACTGTGGTTGCTGCTTCATATCTTTATTCGTGGAAAATCTTTTCTGCTGCTCTTTATACCAGCCATGGTTGCTCCTGACACTGTCCTCTGGTTTTTTAGAGTTTTGCTGCGGGGTGCCCACATTGTGTTGCTCTAAGGCTAACGTCCCTGGCTTTATGTCATTCTCTTTTTTCAAGTGTTGGCTCATTTCTAGAATGTGTCTGCTTTTGTTCACTTTCCAATGCCTTAAGGTCATTTTTATGTGTGTTTTAACCAGAATGTATATGTGTTATCTGTAGTAAGGCTAGTTCTGGTAGCAGCTACTTGGCTACAACAGAATGGGAGATACTTTTCCTTGACTTAAGAGAAACTTACTGTTTTCTTTGAAAATGAGTCATTTGTCTCTGGTTTGAGCTGCAAATATTTTCTTCCAGTTTGTTATTTGTGTTATATTTTTATATTTCTTCACATTTTTGTTTGAACTTTTTATTGGGCTATACGTTTCAGTAAAATACACAATCTTAATTGATGAAATTGCATGCATTGTAAACATCTGCTTACCCATCACACAGTTCCAGATATAGAATTCTTAGCATCGTAGCAGCATTCCTAGCTTTGTACCCTCCTATAACCTCCCAGTCAGGACCCATAAATGTTACCACTATTCTTATTTCTTTCAGCATAGGTTAATTATGACTGTAGTTTATATACATAAATCCATATCCATATATATATATACATATACACATGTTAAATAAATATATCTGTGTATACATGTATATTTGTGTTTATATGGAATCATACAGTAGGTGATCTTTTTGTGTAGCTTCCGTCATTTAACATTGTATCTCTTTGATTCAAATTGACTGACATACTTTTTTTTCTTACGTTCTTCATTCTTTTTTATATTTTCAAGATTTTTTTCTTAGAACTATTTTCTTTCATTAAAAAAACTATTGTTAGTGTTTCTCTTAGTGCAGGTTTGCTGGCAATGAATTCTCTCATCTCCTCTTGCTAGGAAATGTGTTTATTTTGCTTGCGTATTTGCTGGGTATTTTTGCTGGGTATAAAACTCTTGGTTGTATATCATTTTCTTTCAGCACTTTAAAGATGTCATTCCATTGCCTTCTGGTGTCCATTGTTCCTGTGGGAGAGTTACACATACTTTATTAAAAATTATTTTGAAGGTGGGCATCTTGGTATTTGGGCTTGGTGAATTGGTGGTGTGTGTCCAAACCAAAAAATAATTACCAGCAAGCTTCTCCCTCAGATATGTGAGCAGTGGTGATTAGTGGGCACTGGGGGGACTCTACCACCTAGTTCTCAGTTTAGAATCCTGCCACTGCACATATCCACGTGAGAAGGGAAGCATATATAATGATTATATATTATTATTATTATTATTATTATTAATTTTGTCAATTTAAAAGCATAACTTAGAGAAAACACTATTTAGCATATATTATTTCCAAATGTTATTACTGAAATTTTTTTGTGTGTTCATGTTACAGGTTGCTTATATCATTACAGTAGAAGGAAAACCATATTTTGTCCATCTCAAAAAGCAGTAAGTAATTATTTTATCTTTTCAAATTTTATGAATATTCTTTGGTTTCTTGATTTTTAAAAATAATTATGAATAGAATCATTTCAAATCAAATGTATATTTGATACCTATGTACATTTGATACCTCTTGTCTATTGGTTATTGGATAAAGTCCTAAGCGTGCAAAAGACAATAAAACATGGTGCACAGTTAAAGAATTTATAGTTCAGAAAGATATATTCAGACATATCAATAGAGAAATGGAGAATTATGATGTGGTATTATGATAAATGTGTAGATAGTATTTGCTAAAAATCAGGGAAGGCTTTTTGGAAAGAGTTAAGAGATGACTTGAGGAGGGAAGATACTTAGCTGTGTAAAGAAATAGGTAGTCATCTACATAACAGGAGAAATTGTATGTAGATGACTCTTTTGATAAAATCTGTTGAGAATTGATAATACATAGGGAAGGAGGACACAGGGTCATGGGAGAGTTACTTAGGATGATAATGACTTGATAATAAGCTTTTTAATAGTATTAAGATTAAAAAAAAACCAGTAGAGAGGAAGAGTTTGAAGTTACTGTACCAAAAAGTACATATCTTCAATATGTGGCCCAGAATAGGATGCTTAACGCGAGTTTAAGGGTTTGCTTTGAACAAAGAAGATCATCTCCAGAAATAAAGATATGGGTGTGAGGATGGTACAGGTGATCTGAAAGTCAGGTGACATGGAGATTATTGAGATGACTGACAGGATTGGTGTCTGGGTTTTGAATTATGATGTGAGGAGGATAAAAGAAAATTATGACTAAGGTTATTGAGAAGAACTTGGTGCTTCGCTAAGCTTAGTGAATATGAATTTGTAGTGATACCAAGAAAACCTTTTAAAATTCTGTCCTAACTCTGCATTTTAATTTTGAGATTCAGGTTTAAAATCTAGAATTAATGAACAATCAAGACAAAGATTTCAAAGTTCTTTGCTGGAAGTTGAGACCTATTTGGTATTTCTAGCAACTTGGGTTGTTCATTATCGTACATTTTAGTATTATATGTTACTGTGTGAAAATGCCTCCCTCCGCCCCTAATTTATTGTAAATGACAAGCGTTTGGTCAATAGGCTATGCCAATATAATTGGCACCACTTTAAATTCCTCTGTAAAAGGAAAATAATTGTATTATGAAGAATAATTTCTTCTGTGTTTTCTGTTCATAATTTGAGCATGTTTTTGTGATTTCTGCCTAGATCATTTTTATCTTCAGCTTTTGTTGTTTATTATGACAAAGATGACCACCAACATTCTCAACCTTTGTTAGATCAGGTAAGACTTAAGGTTTTTTTCTTAGAGGTTTCTTATTCTGGATTAAAAAATATATGAATATTATGAAATTACTAGAATATTATTTTACACTTTCACTGAAACTGAAGAACCTGGACAAGTTATTTCCACCTGGTACCACTTCATTGGGTAATGGCCATTCTTATTGCAGTCCTAAGGTAGTTAAAGTAGTAAATATAAATGAGATAGCTGGGATGTCCATTTGAAAAATAAAGTATCCATTTGTTTTTCTCTGTGTATTTTTTTTTTTCAGATGGATTGCAGTTATCATGGATATGTTGCAGGTTTTCCAAATTCTCTTGTGTCACTCAACACTTGTTCAGGACTCAGGTTGTAGCCTATTTAAAACTAATTCAATTAGTCAGTATTTGGTCTTTCTAGTCTATAAGTTGATCCTCCATGTGTCTTTTCTGTCACCTCTGTTGTTTCAGTTTTCTAAGGAGTGAAGTAGAATTGCTGATTAAGTTGGTCCAGAATGCGTTCCAGATGGGAGGCTGCTTGTTGATTCTAACAAGAGGCTTTGAACAGTCTTGAGTGTAGGGGGTATTGATTGGATGTCTCCATACTTCTTTAGTTTTTCCAAATTCTTTATGTTTTTATTACTGGGAAAAGGGGAATAAGAGTTACCTCAGTTCTTAGTTACCCCCCAAAAAAGAATCTTTAACAAGAGATAGAAAGCATGATATGAACAAGATTTTATTAGTAAAGAAAAAAGTTAGTGAAATATAGTACACTCCTGAGAATGGGGAGCGGGCCAATCCAAGAGAGAAAAAATGGCGCTGCTCCTTTGTTTTTCCTGTTTTTTATTTCCTGGCTTAGGGGCTGTTTTTGTGATTGATTGATTGATTCATGGCTCAGGTTCTTTGAGTGTTCAGGCTGACTGACAACTCAGGTTCCCTGTGCTCAGGCATGCCCATCTGTTTTACGCATGCTTTTACCCATGATGCACATAGAGAAACCTATGGAAGGGGTCTCAAACTGTAATGTTAATTACATTATAATGAGCATTGGGTCAAGTTAAGCTGGGTCCTTCTCTCCAGTGTGCAGCCATAGCGCTTGATTTTAGCCAGCTTCTTTGCTGGCCTTCATTTAGAGAAAGTAAGTTTTTTGGAGCCCCTTATCCTGAGCACAGGCTTATGGTTATTTTCTGGGTTGCTCCCTCCCCCTTCTCCACTTGCCTGGTGCTCATTTCTGTCTGCCTAACATTTTTCACTGGTTTCTTAATTTCCTAGGATGGTTGACAATTGTAGAATACCTGAGTCTGATAGGTACTTTGGCTCGGCTCACAGTCATTTTTAGGCAGGTGGTACCTTTAATTCAGGCCACACAAACAAATGATTTGGGACATTGAACATCAAGGGAGAGTTAGGTTTTTCAAAAAGAGGAAAGGGAGCTAAGACTAAGGAGGAGAGTGCCTGTAGATCCCAAAGGCTGGCTTAGAAAAATCGACACCATAAGTAGAGATCTTATCCTTTTTAACCACATGGATGCATGCCACTAGCATGCTTTCTTTAAGATAATCAAAATGTTTCTGTTAGAACGTTTATAATAAAAAGCCATATGTATCCTGTGTTATTGCTGGTCCAGTTCTGGAGTAACACCTCAAAGAATAAAGAGAGAAAGTACAAAAACTGAAGTGACTTTACATGTAGGAAAACTTTTTTTGGCCAACATTTCTCTTTAGAATATTAGATTATGATTCTGGTAGACTCATCTCAGACTTGTTTTGACTATGTTATTTCAGGGGAATATTGCAGTTTAAAAACGTCTCATATGGAATTGAACCAATGGAGGCTGTATCAGGATTCATGCACATGATTTATGAAGAAAAAAATGATGACAGTAATATTCCTTTGTTGTGGGAAAATGACACTTACAGCTATAGGAGGAACTCAGAGTATCCCATCAGAAAAGGTTCAGAAGTAAGTGTTGACTTTTATTTTAACTTTTTAGTATAATTTTATGAAATGAAAAATACTTTCAGAGCAAAATTTGTTGACTTGCAAATTTTAAGTTGATTTTACTTTTTCCTGATGGCCCTGCATGACTTTTAAAACGGATAGAGAATGAATTAAGTTCTTTGTAATGCCTGTAATTAGATGAAAGTTTAGCAAAAATTTAGGTAATTAATCTGGGAAATAGATATGTGAATATAGGATTAAATAAACCAAAAAACTAATTTTCATAGGTGGGCATTTGGATAATTAATGTAAATTATTCCCTTTCCTCAATTATTCTGATAATTCAGTGCAACTAATATGTGATTTAGATTTCTAAAGAAGTCTTTGTTACACGAGAATTCAGAAATGAATACTATCAGTGGCTTACATAAGGTTCATGTAAGGCAAGCTGATGAATTCTTCCTCACAAAGACCTGTAAGCTGCCATACATAACATTCCCAGCTCTAGTAAACTGCCATTGATTGTCAACTTCGGTAACATTTTTAAACTGCATTGTTTGTCAAAACTAGTTTCTAATAATTGGTAGCAGAAAACTGCCCATGTGGAAGATGACTATGAGAAATTATCATAAGGCTAAGGAAAGTTTTATGTTATAAACTTAATATTTCCAATTTCAGCTATTGCTGAAATCAAAATATATCTGGGTCTTTGTATAGCTTGGAATCTCATTGAAAATTCTTTAACCACAGGCACATTTTGGAGTGGAATTTTCTGCACGGAACCCACATTTTGTATTTTGCAAATCACTTTAATATGTAATCAGTAGCAATATGTCTCTCAGTTTTATCTCTGAACATAATTTCAATAGAAGGTAAATTTGTGGTAATTTCTCAGGACTCATGTTGTGTGTTTTTCAGAGGCCTCAATATTTCAAGTTATTCCCCCAGTATCTTGAGATGTATATTGTTGTGGATAAAAATATGGTAGGTCTTTTTTTACGCATTGTTATTTATAAACTATTGAACATTTGTCTTTAACTTGATTTCAGTGGTGTACTTGAGCAGGCAGCCCAGTCAGGGGCTCTGAATCTGCAGAGCAGAGACAGTGGCCCTGACTGGCCAGGGAGTTGAGAGTACAGTTCTTTCTGATTTAATACACAAATACCATTTCCATTCCGGGGACTGTTTTGCAGCCCAAGTTGGGCAAGAAACTTATTTAATTATGTAACTGGAGCCCTGGGACTCTGTGAAGCCCATCCTGCAGCTCCAATTGATGCAGGAAAACAGATGTGGGGCGTGAGAAGGGCTGTGTCCCAGGCTTTGGTTGAGCCCCTGGAATGTCCTCGCCAAGTGTGGGTCCTTGGCTTTGCGCAGGAAAGAATTCAAGAGCGAGCCACAGTTGAGTAAAAGTAGATTTATTCAGAGAGATACATTGAAAGGCAAGAGAAAGGCCATGAAGTGTGAGGGTTGGGTGCTCAGATTAATAGTAGGTACACATTCCATAGACAGAATGTGGGCCACCTCTGAAGAGGGAGAGAGAGGGGCGGCCGTGAGGTGCTGTGTTGCGTTTTTATGGGCTTTGTGGCTTCATATGCTAATAAGTGGAAGGACCAGTCTATGTAGCCTGGGGAAGGGGCTGGAATTCCCAGGAAGTTGGCCGTTTCCCACTCTTTGACCTTTTGTGGCTAGCCTTTGCACTGCCATGGTGCCTGTGGGCGTGTTATCTATCATGTTAATATATTACAGTGGGCATATAATGAAGCTCAAGATTTACTAGGAGTTAAATCTCCCATCATCTTGAGCCTCAAGGCCTGCTGGGGGTGGAATCTTTCACCAT